AAGCATCGATTTGGATGATATTTTTTTACTCATTGGGGTGGGCTAACACTGTCTCTGAGGTGAATAGAGCCTTGAGGCGGTCGAACGCCTCCTGGCATTTGTCCGTCCATAGGAACTTAGCGCTTGGTTTGGTCGCTTCCGGATCTTTTCCTTTGGTTTTCAACAAATCAGTGAGGGGCAAGCTGACTTGGGCAAAATTGGGGAGAAAATTGCGATAAAAGTTTGAAAATCCGAGGATTGTAGCTGGAGATGGGTGCAGGGAGCCTCCCACCCCAGCACATCCCGAACCTTCCCCGGGTCCATTTCCAACCAAATATCCTGTACTCCAAAAAGTCAATGGCTGTCTTATGAAATTCACACTTGGAGAGTTTAGAAAACAGTTTATGCTTGTGCAACGTCCAGAGCACCTCCCTCACTAGCTTCATGTGCGAAGGTAAGTCGGGGGAATACAACAAGATATCATCTAAATAAACCAGGGCGCCTTTAAACAAATGCTTGTGCAACACCTTGTTAATCAAGTTCATAAAAACTCCTGGAGCCCCCTGGAGACCAAATGGCATCACTGTATTTGAACTGGCCAAGGGGAGTGTTAAAGGCAGTCTTGTGCTCATTCCCCTCCTTTATGCACACTCGGAAGTGCGCATCCCGGAGGTCCAATTTGGAAAAGATTTTCCCTTTAGACGCCTCAGCCAACAGGTCTTTTATGAGTGGCATGGGGTAGGCATTTGTAGACGAAACAGCATACAAGCCCCGATAGTCTGTACACAACCGCAACCCCCCATCCTTTTTTCGGAACACCACAGGAGCTGCAAATGGGGTGGAAGCCGGTCTGATGAAACCCCGGGCCAGTTTCTTGTCAATAAATTTACGCAGTTCATCCTTCTCAGCCAGACCCATTGCATAAATCCGTCCCTTAGGCAGCTTATGTCCAGGCAATAACTCAGTGCTACAGTCTGGGTGGGGGGATTTCATCTGCTTCCTCTTCCTCAAACACCCTAGCCAGGTCCCGGTATTCAGGGGGGATGGAAGCTAACCTGTTTTCCTTGCTTCTGGATGAGATTGTTTACTTTGTAGATGGGCTGGAGCAAGGCAGCAGACTTCAAGCATAGCAACACTCATGAGCACTCACCCATCATGGAACAACATCCTGATGATATTCCCTTGCCAGCGGTAGGCGGAGCCAGCGGTGCATGGTGGACACTTAGTTTCTGTGCTCCCGACCCCTTCTCCCTTACTTCTACTTAAAATCGATACTCAATGCCTTCATGCCGAAAAAAACAGTAGAAAAACTTCCGGGATTGCTGTAGATAAAAACTCGAACAGAAAAGGAATCGGTATGTACCTTTTTTCCTACGATAACCCCCACCACGCCTCTGGCCTCTCCAGTAGTACCTAAAATGGCGGCTGATTCTAATCCAATTAAGAATGATGACCCCATAACTCCACGGGATCTAACTGAGCTAAAGCTAGACATTTTAAATTCGATGTCCACTATAGTGTCGAAGCTTCTGCAACCACTACAAAATTCGATCCAAGACATGGCAAAAGAAATAACGGAGACAGCCAAGGTGGCTGAAAACGCCACAGAAATGGCGCTGGCCCTCCAAGACGAAGACTATGCTCAATAGAATTGTGGTGCTAGAAAACAAATGGCGTCAATATTCCCTTTCCAGCCATAGACAGAAGCAGCCAACCAAGGCACAGTGATGCTTGAAGTCCCCCTTCAGTGGGAGGCCTAGAGAAAAGAGTGGACTGATGACCCCTGGTTAGCTCCCCTCCCCCAAGCTCACTTGGCAGAAGGGAAAGGGTTGCATTTGTTTTATTTCATTTGTATTCTACCAAGGGAGGAACGGGCAATGAGGTAAAGCTGGCATTTTGGCCAGCAACACGCTGTTGTGCAGTAAACAGAACCCACATCTCACACTGGAAAGCCCTCTGACCCGAAGACCCACTGTGAGTCCCATGCTGGTCATGATGAGTAGGCATGCAAATCAGCTCCCCTACAGCACCCAGCTTTGAAGGAGGCCTATAGCCAGGATTTTTTAATTTGGGGGGGGGGTGGGGGGCTTTAAATAAGTCAGGGGCACTCCTCTCCCCCCCCCACACACACACACATACACACCAGGCCTTGGAGCACCCCATAGACGCCCTCAGCCTCCCCCGCAAGCCAGGAAGGGAGAGGTCCAGTGAAGGGCTGAGCCTGACCCGCTCTCCGCCCAGCTCTGCCAAAAGTCGGGCCTGGGTGGTAGGTTGGGGGGG